ATTTCCGAGGTTAACAGTAACTCAACAAAATCTGATTACACATGATCTAAGGAGGAAATTTGATTTAAAAAAGAAAAAATGCAGAGACTTTCAGACTACGAAAAACCACATCAATTGACTGACAAAGTTAACTTCGTCAACTCAACTGAAGGAAAGAACAGAATTTTGTAGTATTAGAAACTAGTATGTTCACACCACATAACAGACAAAAATCAGTTACCTATTCTCCATAGCTTAAGAGCTATTATTATATCCAAAGCTTTTGCAATACAGCAGTAAAGAAAACAGGCAACCAAAGAAAACAGGCAACCAGCTTTATCAACTACAAAAAAAAATACTACCTGATCTAATCCAGATGTCGAGAACTATAAAGCAGCAATTGGGATGGGAGCAAAAAGCTGAAATAGAAATGATCTGTTTAACACTTGAAAAAATTTATCGTACAAGGGCACGAAAGGCCACTAAAAACATTCCACAATCTACATAATTCACAAAGGACAACTAAATTTTATGTATGAAACATTACAGACAGGAGTATCCAACGACTTACACGTGACTAACTAGGGGAAGGCAGCGAGGATCCTTTGGAATGCAAACTGAACCACATACATTTGTCTTTAACAGCTTCAGATTCACTTGCATACTCTTTGAATCTGTACTCTTCCTGCTTGCAGGTAGGAGGCACTTTTCCTTCACTGTAGCATTGACTGCAAAGGCTGAGTTGCGATTTCATCTCTTTAAAGCGGGAACCAATTATTGGATAACGGCAAGTTGAACAGACATGGAAACCATGGCGAGTTCTATCCCCAGTTTCAAGCTTCAATAGAGTCGACATGATACCGAAGCCCCACTCTTGATCATCGAACATCGCAATGAACTCTGTTAAAGAGACCTTGGAGTTATCTGTTTCTCCATGGATTTCCAGTATTTCACTAATACCATGGGAGGGAATATAGATGGCCCTCAATAGTTTGATGTATCTCTGGGCGTCAGACTTCGATATCTCTGTGCTACCTTCATTTACTGGGCGCCACAAGAGTGCATCATATGCAAGCCGTTTTCGCTTGTCTGGAGAACCACCACAAATAGGTGAAAGGGCAGCAAAAAACAAGCCCAAATCCACCCTACCTGACTCTGATTCATCCAAAACAGAGAGGATTTTCTGGTTTACAGCTTTGACAGCTCCTGTAAATGTTTCAGGCTTCAAGAATTTAAGTAACTTGCGGAGAATTCCCTCCAATGAAGCCTTGCGAACGGACTTTTCAGGTATACCACTGCCAGAATAGGAAACCTGAACGTCGCTTTCATTCATTTCTTTCTTTATTAGTTCTACCTCACACCGATTCAATCTAGTGATCCTCTGAAAAGCTCTAATATCAAGTGCAACCGCGAGTTCTGGCCTCAAAGTAGTTTTCTCACCTACAGTTTTAAATTTTGAAGGTTCCACGGTAATGTAGGCCTCCACAACATTACCACTACCATTTCCCTTCAACTTCTTCTTCTGTAGCTGCTTCAAGTGGGATATGGCATCATGTAATTCGACCCTGTTTGTCATTTTTAAAGCTTCTTTTAAAGCTTTCTTAGCTTCGTCAGTTTCCCCAGCTCCTAGCAAAGAAACTGCTTTATTTAACTGTGCTCTCCAATGGGTTGGCCACACACCCAAGACCCTAGTATACATCTCTGATGCCCTTTGATACCTCACCATATCCATATATAGCCCGCCCAGATTGTACAGTGCATCTACGTGACCAGGTTTCAAGTCAATAGCTTTCTGAAACTCCTTAATTGCATTATCATGATCACCCACAGCATGCAAAGCAGAAGCCAAATCACAGTGTGCATCAGCATAATCATTCTTCATATAAATAGCCTCCTCTAAGGCCTTAATGGCCGCCTTATACTCACCCACACCAAAAAGGGCACTACCCAAAAGCTTCAAAGCCCTAAAATGTGTAGGGCACAAAATAGCAGCTTCTCTATAATGCTCACAAGCACTAATAAGCATACCTTCACCTTCAAGTGCAATTCCCAAATTCACATGAATCTGGGGCAACAGATACGTCCATTGATTCCCACCAACCTCTGCCGCCTCCAGTGCCAGTAGAAATTCTGCTTTGGCCTCACTATGCCTCCCAAGCACATATAAACAGTTCCCTGCTCTAAAATGCGGTCTGACATCAGTTGGCTGCAACTCGCATGCTCTCTTGAAGCTCACCAAAGCCTCCTTAAACAAAAAATGCTCATACAATACTCTTCCAATCGCCATATGTCCATCAAAAGCCTCTTCCCTTGACCTTGCTCCATCAGCCCTAGACCTCAAAACTCCCAATTCCTTCACAAAAACCGCATAGTCATGCCCCAACTCTTCCCAAACCACCCTTTTCTCAGTAATCTCCACAGATGGGCCGAGCTCCCGAGACCAGCCTGGATCTGAATATACATCAGAATTATCATTTATCACCTTACCATCCTGGGACTGCTTCGATTTTAACCTTTTAATTAATATTTCAAGATCGTCAACAAGTTTCCACGTATCATCAAACACAATGCCGTGGTTAGGGGAGGATGCCCAGGCAACGGTGCGCTTTTTTTTATGGGGTTCCATCAAACGCTCATCTGCAATTGACGAAGACGAGGCGGCCTCCTCTGAAACCAATGAAATTCCATTTTTCTCCTCAGAGGAATTAAGCTCGAGGCCAAGGGCATCAAAATCGCGATCCACATCACCAGCTCCGTCATCGTAGGTTCGAAGGAGGCCATCGAACGTGAGGCCCTTTTCGCCGTCTATAAATTCTCCGTATGTACGAAACACCTCGTCGAGGATTGCATTAATTTGCTCCTCGCTAAATTTAACCCTAGGGTTCACCGCCACCACCAGAGCCGACATTTCCTCACGGCTAAGACCACCGTCCCTGTTCGCATCGAATTGCTGGAATATTATCTTAACTTTCTGCGATCTGCTCCCCCGAGTCGTCATTTTTTTTTTTTTTTACTTCTTTCTCTAGATTAAGGGTTTAGGATTAGAAACACAAGCTAAATTTAAGGGCCATAACATTGCAGATGAAAGGCCTCGAATACCGAGTTTTGATTTTCAATTAGGGTTTCAAAGTAGAAGATTTGAAATTCTAGGGTTCCAGAACTCTTTGCAAGAACGGTGAAAGTACGAAACCCTGAAATTTACCGAAAATGAACTCCAACGCCCAAGGTCTTGATTCTTTCCCAGAATTATCAGGGTTTTGAGCAAAATAAATTCTAGGATTTACAGAAAGGCTTGGTAATTTTAATTCTGTGAAACACTAATGTTGAAGGGAAAATCATTTCAGTGGGGAGAATGTGACTGTTATCATAGCTGCATTGGATCTTGAAATATAAGCATGAAAAAGATACACTCTTCTCTTCATTTTTCTCTCCCTAATGTTGGTTGCCATTGTTATCTTCTGGCTGTGATGATGGAGTGGTGTGGATGGTGGGGTCGGGGGGTAGAGGACAAATAAACAAACAGATTGCTGATTGCCTTTTTACCTTTAGAAATTATTTATTTTCATTTGTTAGTTTATTTGTCTGTGTCTAATGTCTATCTTTGGTTAATTAAGCTTAGTGGGACTCATTATTGCTTTAATTATGAATTATCTTAATAGTGAAATGCTTATGATAGATTAAAATCTGATTGATGGAACAACGTTGCTATGGGTATAGAGATTTAAATTTCTGTATCGATCGAACACTCACATTCAAAAGGCGGGAAATTTTTTTCTTTTCAATATTTTATACACGGGCCCACTCTCATGTGAGTGAAAATTCAAAAATCTAGCAAAAATTTTCTGTACTTGAAAAATTTTTGTTGATGGAAAGTCTGTCGCTTATTGACCTTTTCTTTTTCTTTTTTATTTTGTTTCATTTATGGATGACATTTAAGAACTCCTATGGAGGATTGGATTTTTATTTATTTATTTATTTTATCTCTTGTTTTCATTGAAAATGTCTTAATATTTCTTGGAATATATTTTTGTCTTATTTTCAGATTATTCAAAATCAAAATTGATCCAACTTAATTAAAATAAACCTAAATGCAGTCAAAATCAACGCCAAATTCAAATTACTTACACACTTAGGGCCTGTTCGAGCCCCATTATTTTTTAATAAGACATTTTGAAATAATAGATTGATGAAGAACTTGTTAAAAAATAAGAAAAAAATTTAAATTTATATGTAATATTATTTATTGAAAATGTGATTAAAAAGAAGAGAAAAATGTACATTGAAAACAATGAGAACCAAATAAGTGCCTAGTGCATCCCCAAAGAATGCATCAAATCACCAAATTTGGTGCAAAGAGACTCCAACAAGAACCAAACTTTACACCATTTTGGTGCAACATTATTCATTTTGCACCATTTTGTATCAAAATTGTGCAAAGTCAAATTTGCTCTTATTTCAATTTGACAAAGTAATTGATGGAGGATATTTGTGTCATTTGTGTTATATATTTTTTTAATACAATAATTATTATTATTAATGTAACTATCATCATCATCATTATTATAATTATATATTTTTGTTTTTATTATTATTTGCATTTAAAATAAATTTTAAATGTAAAAAATACTAATTAATGTATTAATTCACATAAGAATACAAAAAATAAATAAATAAAATTGTGGAATGAACACACGAATTCCAAAAATTAAATTGCAATTATATTTTAGCTTTGTAATATCATAATATTCAAATTCTGCACTATTTTTAATGAATGATTTAATATTTTCGTGTTTGTAGTGTTTACTACTAATTGTACTATTTTTTTTATATAATTATGAATTTAATCTTTTACTTAATTTAATGTAATTATTTATTTAGTAATTTATATATTTGTAAAATAGATAAATTATTAAGAATAAAAAAGAAAAGAAAATAATTAAACACTGTCATTTGATGTATAAATTTTGGTATAATGGTTGAAGATTTTTTTAGTTTGGTATAAAATGGTACAAATTTTGGTGTAGGATTGGAGATAACCTTATAATCCTTCAGTGGTCAAGGTTCTAATTTCATTCTTATTCAGAAACTTTCTTCCAGAAAACCAGCAAATTGATGGCATTTACACAAAATATTTTTTACAACCAAAATTACGATTTGAGAACAGCTCCTTCAATGATTCTCCAACCTGATTTCCCACATGACATCTCATACCGTGTTGTGTACGTTGTGCTGTACGAGTCGTCATGCTCGGGATGAGCTAAATCAGTTAGTCGAGCTGATTCCTCGAGAGTTGCTTCCACAATAGCACGTCGACCATCAGCCGAGACAGTTACACTCTCTATTGTAAGGTTCAGAAGTTCGTAGTTCCAGAACCAGCCATGTTGTGCAATTTCTGCTGCTCGATCTGTCCAGATTTTTAGCATTTGTCCATCCAGGACCTAGCAGTATTTCAGATATGTAAAGGAGGACGAGTGAATTAATTGACAAACGAGAAAAATACATGTGAAGTAGCAAATACCACTAATGAGACTGACGTTACGCAGAGAGATCCAACTAGAGTGTTCTATGTGAATTTCCAGTGGTCTCCCACTTTAATGTTATCAATTCTCTCTATTAAGATAAATTATCAACGATACGTTAAACCATGGAACACTGTATTAGGAAACAAACATAAGATACATATCTAAGGTGCAATGAGAACCCAATTGAGACCTGCATATTATAAGATTCTCTCACCCAGTTCGACATTCCATCCCCCTGCACCAGGGTAGAACTCAACCACAACCAATATTAACCAATGCATTGATGCAGAGCACATTCATATGAATCCAGATTTAAAAGGAGCCAGTTTTGCCTGTCTTCAGCTGGCCTTCAAAAAAAACTATATACCCATTACCATTTTTTTTACATATTAGGTGACCTAATGCCAAGGTTATAGTACAAAAGATCTTTAGTCCATATGAGCTTTGCGCAGACACGTTCAATAGCTCAAACAAAAATTAAGATGTCAAATTTAAATGGCACCATCTATGTCCATGGTAACAGTATGTTCGGCCAGATGGGAAATAGCGTTTTTGGGCTTCGTCCTTCTACTCAAACATAAGGAAGATGGAAAAATAGCATATTACCAGTAAAGCGGAGGAAAATCGGAATAAGAAATTCTTACCTCTGACAATTTTCCAAAAAAATGATTTGGTCCTAGAGCCTGTGATTTGACATCCTGCCACTTGCGCACAATAATTTCTGCAAATCTAGCATCCATTCTAGGTATTTCGTCTAAATCTTCTGCTACTGAGGCCTCTGAAAGTGATGTATTTCATTCTCAGGATCAAAGAGAATTACATGCGGATCGAATGGGTACAAATGTTAGTCGGTACCCTCTGCACGACTGCACCTACTCGTTCTGCTGATATTGAAGAACACCGAATATTAAATTTATTTGAAGGTATTAATATATTATGATGCAACTGCAATAGGATCATCTAGTGTTATGTCGTCCACATTTGCATCTCATCAAACATCGGACGCAAGTCCAAATGCATTGCCTGTTGAATTAATTAATTACTTCAATCATATGCCAACAAACGAAACAATTAAAAAAAATTCAGTAGAAGTAACTGAATTCTAGCAAAGGTATGAATGACAATGGTCAGTTGTTTCTGTAATTGCAAAATAACTACTCACACCTCCGATTAGCACTGTTGTTTCGGAGTCTGCTTTTAGTGTAGGTTGTCTAAGGTCATGAGCCTGCTAAAAGAAGATATTTTGAAGTATTAATATGCATGAAGAATTAGTAGAACGCTCATTATCGATTATAAGATAAATATGTCGAACTTGCATGTCGTTAGGTACGTGATATTTAATTTAATCATATTAATCAAAATTTCTTATTTTCGAATCGTTACTTTTAATTTTCTTTGAAAAAAATTGTATACGTTATAAGTTATTCATGTACAAATTTTAACTCCGCCTACTTAAAATTTACATAGCCGATCTCAAGCTCAGATAAAGGAGGAGTTATATTTTATTTTTATCTATTTAATATATATATATATATTGTAAAATTAACGAGCTCAAGAGCCAAGCACGCCCTTGAAGGGACGAGCTAGGCTCGTGACTCATGTGTTTGGCTCGCTCCATTGCCACCGCTAGACGGGAAGCATATATGTGGATGATTGAAACAAATTTTTTATCATATTAAGTATGATCATCAATATTGCACTACCACATGACAAAATCTTCTTTCCAAATAATTTGCACAGAAAATTATTAAAGTGACAATCCTTGAAACATTTATTGGGTTTGATTAGAAGAAATTATTCAAAATATTAATGATAATAATCAATTATTAACTACATGACACAACATTTTACCAAATAAATAACTAAATACTTTATTAAATATGGAATCATTCACAACATTTTGTAGAGGATTTAAAAAGATTTAAAAGACAAAAATCAAACAAATTAATAAATAAGAGTTTAAAAAATTCCAAATAAAAATGACGTTCTTGTATTTAACATTTACAAAATAGTAAGCTATAAGATAAAAAAATATAAACTATTTCTAATAGCTAACATCTCAAAAGTGAATGATAAATCCAATAGTAATGTCTTTTTTATGAAGGAATGAAGAAGATGGATAAAAAGTTAGTGTTTGTTAATGGTAAGAAGATATGTGTTTATGTTAACTTTGCAAATTCTTTTATTATTATTATTTTACCAAAATTCATATTACCCAATACAATAATCATATATCCAATGTTTATAATATGCAAATTAAATCATCACATCATAACATTAATGACATTCAAATCAAGCATTAAATGTTCCTAAAATGTGTGACAAAGGATAATTTGGACAATTCACATAAAAAAAATGACATTATTGAGTATCTTTAGTGAAAATGAAATTTTTTTGTAAATCTCCATAAAATTATATTAGACTTCTTTGTTGGCGAAACAAAGGGCCCCAGAAGGAAGGAACGGTGATTAAAAAATCTCCAATTTGTTGTACTATTTATTTATTTCTAAATACTATTTTAATTAAAAAATATAAATAGTTAATTAAATATAAAGAATTCAGAAAAGATTATTTGAAAAATAAAAATTCCTTTATTATTATTTTAAACTAGCAGCAAAAATTTAAATAAATGTCCCATCAAAAGTTTTCCGTTTATAAACTCAAAAAGGGCAAAAAGGAAGAAAGAAATGAGGTCAGTTGTAGCATTTCTACTTTATAAGCTAAGAGTTTATAAACTCAAATAAAATCCATTGTAGTCTAGTTGGTTAGGATACTCGGCTCTCACCCGAGAGACCCGGGTTCAAGTCCCGGCAACGGAATTTTTAAATTCCCCTTTTTGTTTGCACTTCCACTTTGTCCCTAACCTTCAATGTATATTTTGAATTAAATGAGTTTTGAAAAATTGTGGCCAAACACGAACTTAGACTCTAAGCAACAAAGCCTATTTCATCCTAGAGGGATTAATAGAGCTTCAAAACAATTATACAAACATAGCACTTTACAGTAAATTCTGCAATAAATAAATGAAATTTAACTGCTTTCAAATTTTCTGCTTGCCTCTAAATACGAAGGCAAACTTCAGTAGCCGCACAAACTTGCGACCATAATTTTCAATAATTTGCCATTCTGTTGAGAATACAGAAAGAAGGGGCATACCTTGAGGTTGAGGATATATTCAGCCCCATTCTCTTCTAGGAGAAAGTCTATTTCCATAGGAAAACCTGCAACCTTGCCTTTTCATAATTACTGTATTCCTATCTAGATAACTAGCTAACTAGCTAGGACGGTCCAGAATTCATCCTAATACCTTGTATCTTCTACAACGGATACAGATTGAACATATTTGCTAAGCATATGCATATTACACAAGGCCATTCACTCCTACAAAAAATGAAATATACATAAATTTGCTAAACATAGCGAGTATGAAAGTCTGAGGCTATTAACTACTCTAGAACAAAGCTGAGAAGCGAATATGGTCTTTCACAACTCATTTCAAAAATGGAACTTATTATCAAAACCCACCTTAACAGATAAGGAAATGCAATAAAATGATTGCCAATTAGAACGGACAGAAAAACATCAATTGTATAGCAGCAAGAGGATGAGCAGATCGCAAGTGATCATCCAAAAAATATTTAGGCTTACATAATAGTAACTGTTACGCCCCTAACTGAACCACTTCGAAAAGTTCACCACCAAATCACGCGAGGTGTGGAACGTTCATCCAAAGTGGTTCCGAAATGACTTTACCAATGGAAACGATCTGCTATCACATTACGAGGCGTAAGTAATCCTGCAGGACTGACCGAAGCGCCCTCGCCCCCCTTGAATCCGAGGCAAAATTAACCTCGGGGATCTCGACCAAAGGATCCACCGCCAATTTCAAAATGAGATCTTTGTCAAGATTTTTTCTGCCCCCAAGGTTTAAAGTGATTTGATGTCTCCACAAGACTAGTTGATGTAACCTATCAACTTTATGTCAACTCAACTCGGGAGAAGTAACTACCTGCCCACTCTACAGACACGGCTGACTGACGCCTATGAGCAGACGTCTCATACCGTTCAAATGTATACACTTGTCTCACATCCAATGGCTCTCCTCACCTATAAATACCCAAAACTTGGCAATATGCAAGGTAATGAAATTCTTTCTACTTATCACTCCATAGCAAGTAAACATATATTCTCCTCCCCACTATTTTTGCACAACCTTGATACTGTTCCGATCGTCTGAGCCTAGCTTGACCGTCGGAGTGTATACAACCGATGCCACCCCCGTTGGTTCCAGCCATGTGCAGATTCTGACCGTGCGTTGATTGTGTGCAGGAAGGAATACGTGAAGTGGCTATCGGTTGGGCACGTGGAGGGTCCAATTTCCGAGGTTAACAGTAACTCAACAAAATCTGATTACACATGATCTAAGGAGGAAATTTGATTTAAAAAAGAAAAAATGCAGAGACTTTCAGACTACGAAAAACCACATCAATTGACTGACAAAGTTAACTTCGTCAACTCAACTGAAGGAAAGAACAGAATTTTGTAGTATTAGAAACTAGTATGTTCACACCACATAACAGACAAAAATCAGTTACCTATTCTCCATAGCTTAAGAGCTATTATTATATCCAAAGCTTTTGCAATACAGCAGTAAAGAAAACAGGCAACCAAAGAAAACAGGCAACCAGCTTTATCAACTACAAAAAAAAATACTACCTGATCTAATCCAGATGTCGAGAACTATAAAGCAGCAATTGGGATGGGAGCAAAAAGCTGAAATAGAAATGATCTGTTTAACACTTGAAAAAATTTATCGTACAAGGGCACGAAAGGCCACTAAAAACATTCCACAATCTACATAATTCACAAAGGACAACTAAATTTTATGTATGAAACATTACAGACAGGAGTATCCAACGACTTACACGTGACTAACTAGGGGAAGGCAGCGAGGATCCTTTGGAATGCAAACTGAACCACATACATTTGTCTTTAACAGCTTCAGATTCACTTGCATACTCTTTGAATCTGTACTCTTCCTGCTTGCAGGTAGGAGGCACTTTTCCTTCACTGTAGCATTGACTGCAAAGGCTGAGTTGCGATTTCATCTCTTTAAAGCGGGAACCAATTATTGGATAACGGCAAGTTGAACAGACATGGAAACCATGGCGAGTTCTATCCCCAGTTTCAAGCTTCAATAGAGTCGACATGATACCGAAGCCCCACTCTTGATCATCGAACATCGCAATGAACTCTGTTAAAGAGACCTTGGAGTTATCTGTTTCTCCATGGATTTCCAGTATTTCACTAATACCATGGGAGGGAATATAGATGGCCCTCAATAGTTTGATGTATCTCTGGGCGTCAGACTTCGATATCTCTGTGCTACCTTCATTTACTGGGCGCCACAAGAGTGCATCATATGCAAGCCGTTTTCGCTTGTCTGGAGAACCACCACAAATAGGTGAAAGGGCAGCAAAAAACAAGCCCAAATCCACCCTACCTGACTCTGATTCATCCAAAACAGAGAGGATTTTCTGGTTTACAGCTTTGACAGCTCCTGGAAAAGTTTCCGGCTTCAGAAAGTTAAGTAACTTGCGGAGAATTCCCTCCAATGAAGCCTTGCGAACGGACTTTTCAGGTATACCACTGCCAGAATAGGAAACCTGAACGTCGCTTTCATTCATTTCTTTCTTTATTAGTTCTACCTCACACCGATTCAATCTAGTGATCCTCTGAAAAGCTCTAATATCAAGTGCAACCGCGAGTTCTGGCCTCAAAGTAGTTTTCTCACCTACAGTTTTAAATTTTGAAGGTTCCACGGTAATGTAGGCCTCCACAACATTACCACTACCATTTCCCTTCAACTTCTTCTTCTGTAGCTGCTTCAAGTGGGATATGGCATCATGTAATTCGACCCTGTTTGTCATTTTTAAAGCTTCTTTTAAAGCTTTCTTAGCTTCGTCAGTTTCCCCAGCTCCTAGCAAAGAAACTGCTTTATTTAACTGTGCTCTCCAATGGGTTGGCCACACACCCAAGACCCTAGTATACATCTCTGATGCCCTTTGATACCTCACCATATCCATATATAGCCCGCCCAGATTGTACAGTGCATCTACGTGACCAGGTTTCAAGTCAATAGCTTTCTGAAACTCCTTAATTGCATTATCATGATCACCCACAGCATGCAAAGCAGAAGCCAAATCACAGTGTGCATCAGCATAATCATTCTTCATATAAATAGCCTCCTCTAAGGCCTTAATGGCCGCCTTATACTCACCCACACCAAAAAGGGCACTACCCAAAAGCTTCAAAGCCCTAAAATGTGTAGGGCACAAAATAGCAGCTTCTCTATAATGCTCACAAGCACTAATAAGCATACCTTCACCTTCAAGTGCAATTCCCAAATTCACATGAATCTGGGGCAACAGATACGTCCATTGATTCCCACCAACCTCTGCCGCCTCCAGTGCCAGTAGAAATTCTGCTTTGGCCTCACTATGCCTCCCAAGCACATATAAACAGTTCCCTGCTCTAAAATGCGGTCTGACATCAGTTGGCTGCAACTCGCATGCTCTCTTGAAGCTCACCAAAGCCTCCTTAAACAAAAAATGCTCATACAATACTCTTCCAATCGCCATATGTCCATCAAAAGCCTCTTCCCTTGACCTTGCTCCATCAGCCCTAGACCTCAAAACTCCCAATTCCTTCACAAAAACCGCATAGTCATGCCCCAACTCTTCCCAAACCACCCTTTTCTCAGTAATCTCCACAGATGGGCCGAGCTCCCGAGACCAGCCTGGATCTGAATATACATCAGAATTATCATTTATCACCTTACCATCCTGGGACTGCTTCGATTTTAACCTTTTAATTAATATTTCAAGATCGTCAACAAGTTTCCACGTATCATCAAACACAATGCCGTGGTTAGGGGAGGATGCCCAGGCAACGGTGCGCTTTTTTTTATGGGGTTCCATCAAACGCTCATCTGCAATTGACGAAGACGAGGCGGCCTCCTCTGAAACCAATGAAATTCCATTTTTCTCCTCAGAGGAATTAAGCTCGAGGCCAAGGGCATCAAAATCGCGATCCACATCACCAGCTCCGTCATCGTAGGTTCGAAGGAGGCCATCGAACGTGAGGCCCTTTTCGCCGTCTATAAATTCTCCGTATGTACGAAACACCTCGTCGAGGATTGCATTAATTTGCTCCTCGCTAAATTTAACCCTAGGGTTCACCGCCACCACCAGAGCCGACATTTCCTCACGGCTAAGACCACCGTCCCTGTTCGCATCGAATTGCTGGAATATTATCTTAACTTTCTGCGATCTGCTCCCCCGAGTCGTCATTTTTTTTTTTTTTTACTTCTTTCTCTAGATTAAGGGTTTAGGATTAGAAACACAAGCTAAATTTAAGGGCCATAACATTGCAGATGAAAGGCCTCGAATACCGAGTTTTGATTTTCAATTAGGGTTTCAAAGTAGAAGATTTGAAATTCTAGGGTTCCAGAACTCTTTGCAAGAACGGTGAAAGTACGAAACCCTGAAATTTACCGAAAATGAACTCCAACGCCCAAGGTCTTGATTCTTTCCCAGAATTATCAGGGTTTTGAGCAAAATAAATTCTAGGATTTACAGAAAGGCTTGGTAATTTTAATTCTGTGAAACACTAATCTTGAAGGGAAAATCATTTTAGTGGGGAGAATGTGACTGTTATCATAGCTGCATTGGATCTTGAAATATAAGCATGAAAAAGATACACTCTTCTCTTCATTTTTCTCTCCCTAATGTTGGTTGCCATTGTTATCTTCTGGCTGTGATGATGGAGTGGTGTGGATGGTGGGGTCGGGGGGTAGAGGACAAATAAACAAACAGATTGCTGATTGCCTTTTTACCTTTAGAAATTATTTATTTTCATTTGTTAGTTTATTTGTCTGTGTCTAATGTCTATCTTTGGTTAATTAAGCTTAGTGGGACTCATTATTGCTTTAATTATGAATTATCTTAATAGTGAAATGCTTATGATAGATTAAAATCTGATTGATGGAACAACGTTGCTATGGGTATAGAGATTTAAATTTCTGTATCGATCGAACACTCACATTCAAAAGGCGGGAAATTTTTTTCTTTTCAATATTTTATACACGGGCCCACTCTCATGTGAGTGAAAATTCAAAAATCTAGCAAAAATTTTCTGTACTTGAAAAATTTTTGTTGATGGAAAGTCTGTCGCTTATTGACCTTTTCTTTTTCTTTTTTATTTTGTTTCATTTATGGATGACATTTAAGAACTCCTATGGAGGATTGGATTTTTATTTATTTATTTATTTTATCTCTTGTTTTCATTGAAAATGTCTTAATATTTCTTGGAATATATTTTTGTCTTATTTTCAGATTATTCAAAATCAAAATTGATCCAACTTAATTAAAATAAACCTAAATGCAGTCAAAATCAACGCCAAATTCAAATTACTTACACACTTAGGGCCTGTTCGAGCCCCATTATTTTTTAATAAGACATTTTGAAATAATAGATTGATGAAGAACTTGTTAAAAAATAAGAAAAAAATTTAAATTTATATGTAATATTATTTATTGAAAATGTGATTAAAAAGAAGAGAAAAATGTACATTGAAAACAATGAGAACCAAATAAGTGCCTAGTGCATCCCCAAAGAATGCATCAAATCACCAAATTTGGTGCAAAGAGACTCCAACAAGAACCAAACTTTACACCATTTTGGTGCAACATTATTCATTTTGCACCATTTTGTATCAAAATTGTGCAAAGTCAAATTTGCTCTTATTTCAATTTGACAAAGTAATTGATGGAGGATATTTGTGTCATTTGTGTTATATATTTTTTTAATACAATAATTATTATTATTAATGTAACTATCATCATCATCATTATTATAATTATATATTTTTGTTTTTATTATTATTTGCATTTAAAATAAATTTTAAATGTAAAAAATACTAATTAATGTATTAATTCACATAAGAATACAAAAAATAAATAAATAAAATTGTGGAATGAACACACGAATTCCAAAAATTAAATTGCAATTATATTTTAGCTTTGTAATATCATAATATTCAAATTCTGCACTATTTTTAATGAATGATTTAATATTTTCGTGTTTGTAGTGTTTACTACTAATTGTACTATTTTTTTTATATAATTATGAATTTAATCTTTTACTTAATTTAATGTAATTATTTATTTAGTAATTTATATATTTGTAAAATAGATAAATTATTAAGAATAAAAAAGAAAAGAAAATAATTAAACACTGTCATTTGATGTATAAATTTTGGTATAATGGTTGAAGATTTTTTTAGTTTGGTATAAAATGGTACAAATTTTGGTGTAGGATTGGAGATAACCTTATAATCCTTCAGTGGTCAAGGTTCTAATTTCATTCTTATTCAGAAACTTTCTTCCAGAAAACCAGCAAATTGATGGCATTTACACAATATTTTTTACAACCAAAATTACGATTTGAGAACAGCTCCTTCAATGATTCTCCAACCTGATTTCCCGCATGACATCTCATACCGTGTTGTGTACGTTGTGCTGTACGAGTCGTCATGCTCGGGATGAGCTAAATCAGTTAGTCGAGCTGATTCCTCGAGAGTTGCTTCCACAATAGCACGTCGACCATCAGCCGAGACAGTTACACTCTCTATTGTAAGGTTCAGAAGTTCGTAGTTCCAGAACCAGCCATGTTGTGCAATTTCTGCTGCTCGATCTGTCCAGATTTTTAGCATTTGTCCATCCAGGACCTAGCAGTATTTCAGATATGTAAAGGAGAACGAGTGAATTAATTGACAAACGAGAAAAATACATGTGAAGTAGCAAATACCACTAATGAGACTGACGTTACGCAGAGAGATCCAACTAGAGTGTTCTATGTGAATTTCCAGTGGTCTCCCACTTTAATGTTATCAATTCTCTCTATTAAGATAAATTATCAACGATACGTTAAACCATGGAACACTGTATTAGGAAACAAACATAAGATACATATCTAAGGTGCAATGAGAACCCAATTGAGACCTGCATATTATAAGATTCTCTCACCCAGTTCGACATTCCATCCCCCTGCACCAGGGTAGAACTCAACCACAACCAATATTAACCAATGCATTGATGCAGAGCACATTCATATGAATCCAGATTAAAAAGGAGCCAGTTTTTCCTGTCTTCAGCTGGCCTTCAACAACAACTATATACCCATTACCCTTTTTTTTACATATTAGGTGACCTAATGCCAAGGTTATAGTACAAAAGATCTTTAGTCCATATGAGCTTTGCGCAGACACGTTCAATAGCTCAAACAAAAATTAAGATGTCAAATTTAAATGGCACCATCTATGTCCGTGGTAACAGTATGTTCGGCCAGATGGGAAATAGCGTTTTTGGGCTTCGTCCTTCTACTCAAACATAAGGAAGATGGAAAAATAGCATATTACCAGTAAAGCGGAGGAAAATCGGAATAAGAAATTCTTACCTCTGACAATTTTCCAAAAAAATGATTTGGTCCTAGAGCCTGTGATTTGACATCCTGCCACTTGCGCACAATAATTTCTGCAAATCTAGCATCCATTCTAGGTATTTCGTCTAAATCTTCTGCTACTGAGGCCTCTGAAAGTGATGTATTTCATTCTCAGGATCAAAGAGCACAAGAAGGAAAAATAGAATTTAGTTCATTCACACACATATTTGAAAAAACAAAGTTATTGTTTGACACAAGAACTTTATAGGTCAGTTACTTAAAGCCTATTTTTGTTTCAGAACCGTGTTTACCCTTTTTTTTTGTCTTGTTGGTTGGAAGAGGAACAAGAGAAAAAGGGGAAGGGAGAGACAATAGAGAGACTGAAATTAAGGATGATTTGAGAGCACAATAAGATGATGGTCCTAGAGAAATTTTCACTCATAAACAAGAATTGATAAATCATACCCACATTGACGACATCAGAAGCCATAGCTGCTCCAGATTCTTTACGTGGATTAGAAGAGTCATATTTATATGGGATGAACTTCAACCCAACCAGAGTCAGAAAACCAACAGCTACACCAGCACACATGATCTTCACAGTAGCATCTTTTATATTGTCAGTAATAATTTCTTGCTGCTTTAGGTCATCAGAAAAATTCTTCACAGGAGGGTCTATCGCAGAGGCAGAATCATCTTCCTGATCATCATGGCCTCCAGGTTCTGCACCAGCAATTGGTAACTCATCATTCTTCACCCAATTTTCCTCATAAAGTCTGATATTCTTTTCCCCATGACCAAGAGGAAACACTTTCTGCAGGGCTAGAATAGCACTAACTTTTACATTGTCAAGCACAGCCGTAGCCTCAGCCCCAATTCTTGCTATAGCTGCTGCAGCAGCCAAAGGTGAACTGCCAACACCTTCTAATCTCTGTAAATATCTCAAAACTGTAGGGTCGTCATAATAATCTACCAGTTTAAACCTTATTTCTTGGGTCTCTCTGAACCTTGGGAATACCACCTCCATCAACCATGTCTCCAACAGCTTGCAGAGTCCAGGGAGGAGATCATTTTCATTGCCATCCTTAGAGTGTTCTATGACAAAGGTCACAATAGATGGATCCCTATAAGGTGAGTTTACATCGTCCAAGCCCAACCATGTGCGACAATCATCAACTTCTCCAACAAGAAGTGAACAAAGGCCCCTTTCAAGAGCAAAGTCTATTTTGCGATTCTCTCTTACTGTATAGACGGATGAGGAGCTACCAAGAGCTGGAACCTTGGTCTGCTGAAGTTGCTGGAAAAGGTTGTCCGCGTCTTGGATTAGATGAGGTTTCTTACCGACAAAGGCTTGAGAAACAAGTGCAAGAGCCACTCCATAGACTTCAAAACTTTCTGCAGGTATGTTACTTGGTGTGGATGCAAAGAGATCAACCTTTTCGACCCAAAAAAAAAAAAAAAAAAATTCAATCATAAACTAACAAGCCAGCACAAGAATAACACAAACTTAACTCGAAAAAGATATCACAATCAATCAAATCAATATGTACTTGTTCTGCAGCTGTCATGAGGAGGAAAGCCTCGTTCATGAAATTTTCGCGTGTATATCCTCCACCGACAGCAGCTGCACCTCCTCCGCCAACAGCCCACAAAATATTGCGCACACCTTGAAGACCCTCTGCCCTTTTTGTACGGAACTCATCATCAAGAGGTAAGGCTAGAAGCTCTAGAACACAGCAGGGGTTGATCTCTTCCAGAGTTTCATCAATCTGTGCTTGTAAATCTGGGGCAAGATTGCTTGCACCTTCTTCCTGAATAAATACACAAATTATCTATATAGCAGATCAAGTAAACAGTTAAGAATCAGTACAATAACCTATTATACCTATCAATATCATTCCCTCCCCCTCCTTGACTGTCAGTTCCCTTTCCTCCCCACTTGCCAACACCAAGAAAGGAAAACTATAGATCTATTGCCACTCAATTTCTAATGCATCTATACTTCTTTCATTTGGAAAATCACAGTCATCCAGTAGAAATAGGAACTGAAAGTTTCACAAAGTAGTCAAAGAAGAAATGTAAAAGTCCATTTGCAAGAACTTGTTTGGGCATTCAAAAAATACTTCACCCTTGTTTGATCCCCATTATTTTTAAAATACATGTTTCTTTTTCTTCCTTTCAACCACACATTCTTTAATAAATAATATTACAACTAACCTAAAACTTTTCCTTATATTTAATCATACAATCTCCATCAATCTACCATTCCAAAATGCATTCTTTACCAAAAAAGGGGGGCTCAAACATCATGATGGTATAAAGAGGGTACGTCCAATTGTTAAAGCAATAACAGATG